ACACTTCAGCACCGTCGCTGATTGTCTGTAGCTGGATTGGACTTGTTCCGGTTGTCAGTCATCTCGCAAAACCAAGAAATACAAGCGAATGACAGCTGTCCTTTCTTTTATTCTAAGATGTATGTGCGTGGTGTAGCCTGAAAGTACTGGGTGAGGCTCATGGCCAACCTCGACGTGCAATGAGTTGCCTCGTTTTTCTAATATGGGTCGCACCGCCACAAGTCCATTTCATCATCCAAATAGCACATACTTTCCTCCCTCTAGCCTCTAGAGCCCTCATATGCACAAAATGCGAATGGCCTATTGTTTCTCGATTACCAACAGTCACAGATAGCGCCTGATGACTGTTTTTGCCATGCGCCGTTCGTTTGGCAGCAGTGACTCGGCGAATGGTGATCCCTACCCTTACCTTCCCATTAAGTTGATGTAGTAGATCGCAGTTAAGCTACGGTTCTTATCCATTATCTGGAAAGCTGTCGCCTGATCGCTTTTATACTTGTCTACCGTCACTACTCACATCAATACTCTATTGCGCAACCGATAACCTATACTTGGATTATTTTGGTAGGCTTAAAACTTCCACCATGTAATCGTCCGTTCCAGCTAGTCCAACGGCTAGCCTCCCCGCTAGCTACCTCGATGACCAAGTACTCATCTTCCCAATACTGGTCCAGCTAATACTTGGTTTCTAGTTCGGCAAACAGACCCACATTTACGGGACATTTAGCTTGCTGTCATCTCCCTTCAGACTTTTCTTCTATTGACTCTGACGCCTCCTGGGACTCACCAGACGCTACCACTCTAGAGATATTTATTCCTTATTCTCTCTCTACACAAGCTTCAAACTTCGCCTGCTGTTGCCTAAACACCCCGTAAAACTGCTATTTATTCAGTTTGGCTGGTCCGCGGTCTACACTCACATGGGCCTCCAACGGAACGGAAATTACCCGTGACCCTGTATTGGCCTGACTCTGTCTCCTCGTCTAACACAAATCCAGCTGCCACAGAAATGCCTATCCCTATCCGATCGCGGCAAACTGGCGACCGTTACGGGGCTGTCCATGAACAGAAGTATGTCAGTGCAATGACGGTATGGCACTGTCCACAATTCCATCATGATACCCCGATTCAAACAACTTTGGTTGTCCACCAGTCAAGCGGAAAGCCCCTGTTACTGGTACTAAAAAATATTATGCTCAAATTTTTCTGCACCACGTCGTGGCTGGCCACAGCAAGAACAATGTCCATTTCCTGCATTTTACCGCCGCCGCGAAAGCTTGTTCGTTATACCAGATAGAGTTAGCATTTTATCGACTAAGCGAGCGGTGTTTCTCGCAACTTTGCACTCTGTGCATCTGGGTGTCAATAAAATGAAGTCTCCAGCGGGCCTGTCATGCTGGTGGCTGGAACTAGTGACGGACTTCAAGCGCATTGCTAAAACAAATTTAAATACGCACATAAGATTCAATGCAGGTCTTCACAGTGGTATCCGTGTTCAGTTACTTGCGTAGCATTTCGAAGAGTACACGCCAACCACTGTGGTCATTTTCTTGGTAAATACTATGATCCAATTGCTATTGACGCATATTTACATTGGCCCGAAATTTTTCCAGCTACTTCTTACAGTGCTGAAGTCACACAGAAATCACTGAGGAAAGCACTCTATCACCAGGTTGTACCATTTGCTTTGGTCACTGACAATGGCACACCGTTCAATGCAAATACCCTGAAGAATGGCCAAAAGGTGTTGCATGTGGACGTCTACCTGCTGCTCCACGAAATTCACAGTCAAATAAACGTGCTGAGAATTTTGTTTGATGACCGCACTCTGCCATCACTTCATAGTCTCCCATTTCTTGTACAGCAAGATCGTGGAATAGATAATTATCTAGTGCAATACAGGAACGCCGTTCGTTACATTACTGGGAAGAGTCCCGCGTCTCTCCCTAAATTTTGCTCCTTGCGAGCAAGCCTTACCTATGCCAAAGCGGCTTACGTTAGGTTTTTCGAAGGAAGTGATTTACTACCTGCTACAAAAATAATACTTTCATCAAAAACGTATGGGTCCCGCGTCTCTCCCTAAATTTTGCTCCTTGCGAGCAAGCCTTACCTATGCCAAAGCGGCTTACGTTAGGTTTTTCGAAGGAAGTGATTTACTACCTGCTACAAAAATAATACTTTCATCAAATGGCAAACGTATGGTCCGATTACTGATTAGGATGAGCTGTCTGGACACTGGGGACACATTGATTAGGATGAGTTTAATACCAGAGATAAGCATTTAAGCAGGACTCCTGCTGTTTCAAATGCTCGTGAAGCTTCTGTAGATGGTTTGGTGGCATCTGTACAAGACGTTATATTTGATAACATGCTACTTGCGAAGAATCTGAAGTTTTTAATCCGAGCAGATCCGAAAGGTTACGACAATAATAACCGCTGAATAGTAAACAGTCACACGCCCATTCAAGGTATGGTGGATGTGATGAAGTTGATTGAAGCCCTATTCATTGCTCTGTTCATTATTCTCTAGTTCCAATATTCCAAATGCTGTACACACGTAAATTCGAATACATACGTGCTACTTGTTTCGCTGTGCTGAATTCAGGACTTCCAGTCCGTCAGGTAATACCCATGTACGTCCCGAAATTAGTTACCATACAAACTTTTGCACCAATCTATCCAACTATTAGGTGGAACTTGGTTTTCTTATTAAGCTCTATTGTTAACTCTGGAATGCAAAGTGACTTCAAGGCGGATGCAACCGAGGCAGACAAAACAATCAGATGTGCATGCTAGTTGGTTTATCATGTCAAACCGAAAACTGGAACATCTAAAAAGGCAACACGCCTGGTGAGCGTTGCATGCATCCACGACTGACACTCGATGGACATCCATTGTTCTCATTTATTACCGCCCACTAATAGATAAAATGTAGAACATCCTTTAATAGTGTCACCTATGATTGTGGATAGGTGGGTGCATCGAAGGACCGGGATGCATTCCGACAAAGATATACATGCAAAGGCTCTATAAGAGCACGAAGTTTGGCCAAATGACACGCGTTAACTTCATAGATTGGATGAACAGCGGAAGAACTCGTTCATCGATTTGCACCGGCAAAAAATCACGAAAGGTCGCGTTTTTGTGCCCACAGTTTGACTCTTCAGCAATCGAGACGGATGATTATTTGCTTGAAATGGGTAGACAAGGATGCACATATATGCAAATCTTAATGTGGTGCAGCATGTTCCTCCTCTATATACTGTATTGCTGGACAGCAGACAAATTTTTCGAAGTTTATTTTTCCATGGATTTTGGAATTCAGCTAGCTTTTCCGCGTGAGGAAGATGGATGTTAGCATACGCAAATTTCATGAAAATCGCGCACCACTAACACTAACAGGACAAATATCTGGTTGTATATATTAAAACGAGGTTACCAAGCAAGGTTCCTGGCAACGAAGGTTCGTTGCGAAATGGTATATTTAAAACAACTCGACCTCGGATGCTATGAACATGAAGTACATGATTATCAAAATCATTCTTAAATTTTAACTTTTCAAAAGACTACACAGGTTTGTTGGGATTGCAAACTTTGCTAACCACGCAGTGCTACCTGCAAGCAATAAGCTTTGGAATGAATGATGGTCAGGGAGGAGATGTATTCAGCTACGAAGTGCCAACAAAGGCTTCTGTTCGAAGCATCCGTATCAATGGTCGAGGCATTCTTTATTCAAGATGGTTGGATATCCATACTACGGGTCATGGAGACACATAGACCGTTACATTACGATAAAACACGGTGTCTGCGTGACAGGATCCAGCTCATTTTCAGTTTTTTCCTCAAAAATCTGTCTCACTGAGAGCAGGAAATGTTCAGATTTGTCTAAGGCTATTGGTTTGACGGTTCTCCGTGTGATGGAGTGCTACCGACGAATGTTGCATACACTCACATTCCAGAACCGTCGCACCGTGGTGTTTGGGCCTTTCGTCACATTAAGTTGCAGGCCGTTGATATCTGGAGGCCAGGTCAACCTTTCTTTTAGATCTAAGTAACTGCCATCACCCAAATCACTACGGAGCTGCTTTCGGTACTACATCTGCTTGGAGGGCGTGCGACCCCAAAGGCTACGATGTTGATGTGTGAAATTTTCAATTGGCTTCTTCCGTCAGGTTCTCCACTTTGATTTGCGTGGAAGACCCTAAATTTCTTGGTATAGACCTTATAGCACAGCAGGCGCACGATTTTCCTTCCACTGCGCTTGAGTTTGACCGAACTTGATGGCGTTATGGGAAACTTCATTGAAATTCGATGTAATTCTCACCAACTAGCTGATTGACTACTGCCCGGGGGCAGCCGTCCACAACTACTGAGCATCACATCATTTGGACGGATGTGTCATGTGCAGGCTACGGACGAAACGAAGTCGTGCCCTGGTTGGTCAGAATGCCAGCCAATCTGGATCAAGCATCTTGGCTCAACGCTTCGCGCCCCCTCAGGGAGATTGCAGCATGACCTTTTGAAACATTCTGTGATTACCTTATGGATACACTTGTATTAATCTTCCTTTATCACCATAAAGGGCTGTATGAAGCTACCGTGACTTTTCATATGTCATAGTGGTTGGAGCAAGAAGCTAAGGAACCGATACAGAGTCGCAAGACGTCTTGCGACAGTTATCAGTTTCGGAATGGCTCAGGATGTTTCAGTGATAACAAAGAAGTACCTAGCAAACCGAGCGATTGCACAGAAATGGTGTTATCTTCACTGGCCTGGAAGGCATGTCTACATGACGTCATTTATGGCCATATCTCAGCCTGTTCGGTTGACCAGTCTTCTGGGCAATCCCCTGTAAGCGAGGCCGCGTTTAGAGTCAGGGATTCAGGCAGGGGAGCAACACGCATGATAAATGCATTACCTATATACTTCTGTATGTTTGACCAACTTGATCCTCTGTTTCAGACTGATCGGTTCAAGTCGGTGGTCCTCGATATTTTCGAATGAGTTTCGGTCTCTTTCTGTCCCACACATTGCTACGAGCTTCAGATCCCTTGCTAAAAGGTAGTATTTTAATATGCCATGGCCTGTTCGGTTCGAAACAGAATTGGAAAAGCCTCTCTCAAACACTTCATCGGATGGCCTGTGGAAACGTGAGCTTCTCCACTTGCCTTGTTCCTGGTTTTTTAGATCTGCGTGGTTGATTTGCGCAATCACGGAATGAGTCCACATTCCCTTGACATGAGCTATTTTGCTATGGCTCAGGATGTGGCCAAAATTGTGGATGAACTTGATCTCCAGGATGTCTGTTTGGTCGGCCATAGCATGGGTGGGAAAGTGGCCATGTGTGCCGCTCTTTTGGAAGTAAGTTATTCTTTGCAATTACACCTACGTCCGTTCTCCTAAAAGCCCGAGCGATTCAGCCGATTGATGGTCATCGACTCCTCTCCGGCTTACACATCTAAGGCCAATAGAATCATGCCGCATTTACAGCTGATGATGAACGTGGACTTCGTGCAGGTCAAACGTGAAAGTGACGGGACACTGTCGGGCATCCGCCAGTGGCTCTTTGACACTTGGAAGAAGGACATTCCCGTAATGCTTATCCTTTTCAAGTATAAATCGTTCAGATCATCAAAACCACTCTTATTTGTCGCTGACCGCCTCTGGCCTCCCGTTCTTGCACATTCATTAATAGGATGAAACGATACGTCGATTTCTGCTTACCAACCTGGAACAACGTGAAGGGAAGTGCGAGTGGCGAGTAAATCTACGTGCTATAGCTGCTTGCTGGCATCATATCGTTGGCTTTCCCGACAATGAGCTTCAGGGACTCACGTTTAACAATCCCACGATGTTTGTGGCCGGCGGACGGTCGGATTACATAAAGTAGGTGAATTCAGACGGCGCTTGTTGTCATTCTCCAACTTCAGTTCTGAGATCTATAGCTCCTGTAACCCAGCAACTTACGCCTAATTGTCGCAGGCAAACGTTTCCATTCGTGTTTTCTGACGGACAGAACTTGCTCCTCTTTAGGGAATTTGTCGAACCGGTACATCCTCTGAATTGGGAGTGCGCATTACAGACCAAAATGCCGCTCATTGGCTCGCTTATTCCTTTCTAGGCTCGGGTACGTGGGTTTATTCCAGGTCGATTGAGTTTGTCTGATACCTGTGCACCGAAACCATGGCCCGATGTGCTGGGTGTATACTCGAATTACTGATCCGGTAGGCTACCTGATATGTAACAGCTAAACTTCGGTTTCCAAGCATCCTTTTTATCACATAGTGACTGAAGATTCACACCCGCTCCAGCTCACCCATCAAATTGACTCAGGCAACTTTGCTGCCTCATTTGTTTATGCATTACAGGAGAAAAACAAGACAGTAACGGTAAAGCAACTCTCTATATAGTGTAACTCAATTTCAAACATCAATACAAAGAACGACTTGAAGATATCACTTTCTGAACTTCAGGATGACAGTAACTTACGAGATGTCCGAAAATCGGATCTTGTGAGCCATTTCGTCTTGTTTAGAGGACTGTGTTTCTCTGCGCTTAGGTCTCATTACGGCGTGACACTCCGCCGCGGAGACCACACTTTCGGGAATACTGGATTGTTTTAATGATTGGGATATTTCTCCGTAAGACAAGTCATCGATCAGCACTGTCTCGCACCTTTTTGTGCTGAGACGAGGAAATTTTCTAGTCATCCGAATTTTCTGATCAATTTTCTTGAGAACGTAACCGAATTCCTTCGTTTTGTGGGGGCGAGGTAGCTTAGTGGTTAGAGCGCGAATTTACTGACCGAAATGTCCGTGGTTCGAACCTGACGACTGTCTAGGCATGGGCAACCTGACAATATCCCAATCGTCGTGTCTTCTTCGGGTGGCATGGCAACCAGACACCGAAAGGGTGTTACCGCTAAATGATTTTTTTGCGGGGATGTATGTTCCAGATGTTTACTGTGGTTCGTTGCGCATCGAAGGGGTTTTAACTTGGAGTCATTCCTCTCAGGCGGAGCTGAGCTATCATAATTCTTTTCGCCCAGAAAGAGATAACAAAGCAAACGTAGAAACACAAACGTATGATACGTTGAGGAGATGCACTTCTGAGGTGATGAAACGGGTTAGTTTTAAAATAAACTGATAAGGAGTTCTAAACCGAATTTTCCTGTGTAAAAGCGAATAGGCAAACAGTTTAACCCTGCATGGGAGATCGAAAATTACTAATGCATCTGATGAAACTGAAAGGACTTTCGAACCCACGAGCCAGTAGCTGAGCATTTAGCCATTTGACCACGCTTGACTAATCAGCAGTATGATTAACTCGCATTTAGACAGCATGTGGCGCCTTAAACCACGTGATCCAAGTCACGTGGTCGCGCGCTGATTCCTCCAATGACTACTTAGTTGATGAGTCCAATCATGGTAAGAATTAATCTTCATCTGAACTGTTTATAGATTGTTCGTAGTATGGGGAGGTTTTGGAATTCACAGTGGAGGTTTCGTGCTGTAAGTAAAGCCAGTCAATACTGAAGCGTTGGGAAGCACTCTACAGCTGTTTCGTTTTTATTTGGCTTTATCAGTACTGCACATCCCCTGAAACTCTGTACAAATTTGGACCTGAAACACTTACTTGCAGGTGTAAACTTGGCCGTTCGACCAGGAGCGGCTTGTCAGCAATGTGGTCTACTAGAATTTAGTGGAGAAACCTCTAGATGCCCTGCGTCAGTGAGTCCGAAAGGCGCCCTCGCTAAAACGCACCGGAGTAGAACGGTTCCACTGGCTCCAGTGTCGGCTTTTGATCCGGTGGCAGTTGATCCTTTCGTCGAGCGTAGCACTGAAAATCTCCCTCGCAAGGTGACGAGACGAAACGTTTGCAAACCACCTGTCAAGCTCGGTGAGAAATCAACTGCCACCTGATCAGCAGTTAATTACCCCCCTGAGCTACCAATATTGGTGCGCACTCCCAAAGTATTGGATCAGGTTGAGATGCAGACTATGCCCTGAGAGTATGCGGAGAATTCCGCACATTAGATTCCGTCAGAACTTAGTCACGTTTCATCAAGCGGCCTAAGATAGCAGCCTTAGGTGTGACATTCAAACCAATGTATCGCCTGTATGGCGAATGCTTCTGCATCCCTACTGAAGGTCTCTCACGAAAGTGTCGTCTTTAAGGTCGCAAAATATTTGTTGAGAAAGAACTTATTCTAAACCTCGGGATTTAATCAGCGTACTACATGGTCGTTGGCTTGTTCGCTGAGTTGGGCAGTTTGATTGGAAACGTTTCATCACTAATCGAGGTGACATCATCAGTGCGTTATTGGGGAACGTAGCGGTGGTTGTGCACAACCACAATCCATCGCTACGCACCACTGCGCTTCCCAATGATGCACTGATGATGTCACCTCGATTGGTGATGAAACGTTTCCAATCAAATTATCCAGCTTAGTAAACAACCCAACGACCATCTACGCTACCTGAGCTACCAACATTTTCCTCTATAGAAAGCGTACTACGTCTAGAAAAATCCTCAGATGATTGACGCCAGTTCTAGAGCATAGTTCCGAAATAACTTTGAGGGGAACGGCATATCGGCCAAGTGATTTGGAGTTATCGAGACGTTATAGAAGACCGCGGTCATTCGTTGTAGTGTAGAATGCCTTAAGGAACGATAGTAAACATGTTAGGAGCTTCGAGACATGGGGGAGGACTCCCTCCATCAGCCTGTCCTCAGGTCTGCCATTAATGTCGAAAATTGGAGACTAGGAGCAAGAATCAACGGTTTGACAGGACTCAAGTGTAATCGACTTCAAGCAGGCACTTTCGAAGCTGACCCGTCTTTTGATCGATAAGCATGCGTTTAACTCTTACAGCGCCACACTGGTTATGACCTGAAACATATTCGGTTCGTGTTTAAGAATAGGGTCGTCGTTTATGCATTCTGTTCTTAACCGCACGTAGTCGAACCTTTCAAAAATACTTGTCTGCCTGGTTTAAGATGTCGCACAGAGACTGAATCGTACCATCGCTACTCATGGAAAACACTGGAAGATCGTCTGACGAACACTACTCACATTTATTCAAGTAGAGGACTGATGTATTCAGCGGGGAAATGTTGCCAGAAGTAGGGGGATGGGTGCTACAAATTAAAATAGCCAAGTCAAAGGTCAAATAGACTCAGGAGAAGAGCGGACGTCGTAATTAGAAAGGTAGACAAAGTTTTCGAACGGTGTTTCCATACCTAATGGAGATTTATATAAATCATAATAATGGTAATAATAATAATCGTTCAGCCTTGCCACCCTTTCTGTGCACAGCTGCCGCGCTGCCTAAAAGGAGCACAAGGGCTGTCAGGCTGCCCAAGCTTAGACAGCTGCAGTCGAGGTGCGGAGGTTGGGTTCGAACCGCGAACCTTCTGGTCAGTAAATTCGCCCCCTAACGACTGAATCAAATCGGGCTCCCCTAGTGGAATGCTTGTCGATTTGCCAGATGAATTCATTGCTATACCAGCTAGATCACCTTGACCGTCTATCTAGTTTTGTGTCATTTGGAAAATTCTCGGGAATTCTATGCGATATCGTTGGAAAACAAAGAGTCTGGTTCATCCGAGAAACCTTACAATTCGACTTCAAGCCAAAATGCATTAGCAAGCTGATACACAAAGTGGTTCTTCACAGAACTACAGAGGGCGATCACCAGTAGTTGAAGATCAAAAGGTTAGATCACTTGAATCATTGTGGATTGTTGTGCATGCACCTGACATTTGTGGATCCAAGCCCTGATGGTGCTCACCTCGGTCGGGACGAATGTCCTATACTGCCGTTAAAAAGCTTGTCCCATTGTGTCCTTTGTGAAGCTAGTTGGTTGCTGATTTATCAGTGTACATGTGTCGTCAGGATGCGACGGAATTAACAGCGATGCACGATTCTTGAGAACGAGGAGATCTGGTAATTGTTAGTAGGCATCTCGTCCTGTCAACTGAGCCAATGTGTGCTGAAAAGCCGCGAAACACTGTACTGCCGTTTCATCCTTGCCTAGACTCATCACCCCACGAAACTCAGAGATTTTCGAACCCGCGAACTCCCAGAAGGTGACTGAACACCTAACCGTTTGATCACGAGCGATTGATCAGCAGTGTGATTAACTTCCACAAATTACCGTATACATCAGAATAATCCCGTGTGTGTCCGTATTTAGTAGAAACGATTTTGAAGAAATCGGGTTCAAGTAAAGGTTCGGGGAAAATACTTAATACATATTTTTCACCAAATCTGGGAACAGTAGGTCATTCATTTGAATATCCGAAACGTCGTAGACTTCTAACTGTAAAATTCAGTGAATCCTTTTTCTGGATCTGCACGAGGAACTTGACCTTTTTTAGACCAGAAACCAAAATTCATGGAAGTCACACACCAGGAGTGTCATTGTTAATAACTGAACTTCCCTGTATTACATAGACGTGATGAGCTACTCATAAGGCCGCTCAAAACTCTTCGATAGCCCACGACTGTTTCCACCTTTCTAGGGGCTCATTAGCTAGGCACGGCTCAAGAGTTTCCGTCAATCTTATGTTCTAGTTGAACCCAAATTGCAAGTAATTCGACTTATACACTCATTTTGACGGGAGACTCACTTGGAACCCAGCTGAATCTCTCGTTTGTTACGTTCTTAAGCACCCGAATGTGCTGCACTGGGCCGCCTCATGTTTCATTTTGGGCAACCTGGCAGTATCCCAGCCCTCGTGCTTCCTTCATGTGGCATGGCAGTTAGCCACCGAGAGGGCGCTACAGCTGAGCTATTTTTTGTACGTTTGCGTTACATCGTATGGACACTACTCACTAGGTTGCTGAAGATGCTTGGACAGCTCAAGGCCGGTTTTGCCTCTTTTGGGGCTCATCAGGTAGACGAAGTGCCTGAATTTCCTCTTTGTGTTATTACACCATTGTAGTCCCTGTTTAGACTTGGGCAACCTGGTAGTATCCCAGCCATCATGCTTCCTTCGGGTGGCATGGCTGTTAGGCGCCAGAAGAGTGCTACAGCTGAACGGTTTTTTTCACCATTGTAGTTAACCTTTGTTTTTTAGTGCTGCTTGCTTTCCTTCCAATGTTCCCGATTGTACTTCCGTTTACCCCCCTTGCCCACAGGTTGTCTGATTTCCCCAAAATTCACAGTTATTTCCCCCAAGCTCGTCTTCTCTCTGTGGAAGGAGCCGGTCACTGGGTCCATGTGGATGATCCTCATAGTGTGCTCCATCTGATTACTACGTTTGTCAAGGGTTCGGCGGAGGATCCTCTTCCGAACAGGGTCGTTGACCTCACCGATAAAGGCTTGGCGTTGATCGGGACATGATGAATTTGCGCACATTCATAGGTTTATTTTTTTCCAAGTTCTAGACCAGTCTGCCCGATTTCTCGCATTTTCAGTTTACAAGAAATTCGGCGTCTTTCGTTCCCTTGTCTTTTTAGAGTCAACTATATCGCATTCGATTTATGCAGCCCTGTTTCTCAAGTTGCTGTTCACTTTTATTTTACCCGCCCACACGTGCGTATTCAACAGAAAATTTGATCCTCCTTCCAGATGCCTGTGATATCAATTACTAGTTACTGTCTTGTTTTCTTTTTCACTGAGCGCACTTGGGAAGCAGTCCCACATTTAGTTCAGCCGAAGATTGCAGGCACTGGTTTCAAAAAGCGGTCTAACTGGAACCGACGACTTTATGGTCTGGTCTGTTGGGTTTTCGGCAAGGAGGAGAATTAGTTTCTCACTGGTTTGTGGTACAGGATATTGGCCTCCACCTGTTGCCTCTGATCATAACTGTGTTAGGCACGTGAATTCTATCGCACACTAATAGGAGCAAAATAACCGTTCCGCTATAACACCCTTTCAGTGCCCAGCTGTTGTACAATCCGAAGGAGACACAAATGCTGAGATACTATGAGGTCATTCAAGCCCAAACTGGAACAGTCCAGAGGCCGGGGTTGGATTCAAACCATGGACCCTCCGGTCAGTAAGTTCGCAATTTAGCTGACTCGAACTCTCTCGCAAACTTGACATAACAGACACTGTTGGGCGGGAACCCGCACTAACACTTCCTTGCCGCTCACAGCTGGGCCCTGCTGTGACCAAAAAGTCTGATCCGCACGCGACTGGCCAGAAGGTCAGGCTGCTTGTCTGTCCAGCGTCAAGGCGAGCTCTGACTGACCAGAATGGTGGACCCAGTAGCCAATCATGGTTCAGCATGAGAGGTTCACACCGAGAACTGCTATTACACACTCCATCATTATAAGTGATAGTTCGACAGCCTCATCCTGACCCACCTAGTTCGCCGGTCTACTCTCATGATTACCTGGCGGATTGGCACGTCTGCTCAGTTTGTGCTTTTCTGTGATATTCAGCATCATTAATATTGACAGCAAGTGGCAGTGTTGAACGGCGGTGCTTCACTGCCTCAATGCTGGTGGCATGAAAGCTTCAGAGTCTCAGGGCTTCCAGTGGAGGCGGCCTGTGGTTTACCGTTAGGTAGGTCTATGTGAGCAGATGAACTCACATATACCCATGAATGGTTTAGGAGATGCCAAGAGACATGAGACCGGATATAAAAATCAGCTGAAAAGTTGCTAAACAGTATCAAAGATGCATCGTAGGCTACAGGTCGCACTCGGTCAAAAATCTTCCGACCGTATTCTGTTTCCATGAAGGGAAATCAGAAGACTGCAGTGCCATCTCGTGAGGCTCTAGAGAGTTTCGAACTCACAACCTACTTGCTAGCAGTTGAATACCTAACCGTTCGGTCACGACCGGCTGATCGGCAATGTGACTGACTATCACCACTAGCCGGAAGGTCGCTCGCCGAAGGCTGTGAATTCCGTCAGTTGCGCCCTAGTGATGATTCCTGCGAAGAACAAAATAGCTCTACAGTGCTTTTCAGCATAGATGGGCTCCACCTACAGAACGATATCTCGCTTTAAAAATTACCGTCTCTCCTTACGACATGACTTGGAATAAGGGCGTCAAGGAGTTTACGGACACTTCAGGTATCGTTGGTACCGTCCATCATCTAGGATGGGATCCCCGCAACCTACCTTGCGGTTGGTTGGAGACATTGCAGTGAATGGTAGTTCGTCAAAGTTAGTGGTGTTCTTGCTGTCAGTTTCCTCCCAGAGTGTCTGAGAACTTCAAGATGTTTGTGATAGACACCAGCACCAGGCCCCTAACTTATCCATTCTTTCCTCTTCTGTTTCCTCTCAGGCTTTAAATATATAATTGAATTTCGTGGCTGTACGGTAGTGAAGCATCAGTGTCAACATCGATTTTACTGTCTCCAGTGATCAAGCTGATAAGTTCCTATCCTGATCTCCACCTTCCTCTCAGAAGGGCTCATCCAGCAACTGTCTGACATTGGTAACGTACGGGGGATTTGCTCTACCTCATTAAAGAAAACGACAGTGGAAAGTGCGCGCCTTATTTTGCTTTTTTCATATGGGCGAGGGAATGGACACCCAGAATTTTTAGGTGAATTTCTCAATGGTATTATACTTTGGTGTATGTACTAAACATCATCTGAGCCGGACAGCAGTCCTGAATTGAAATGTGCTCGGCGATGGCCGTAAGGTTCCTGGAAGTGAATTGAAGCTGAAGTCTATATGTATGTCTGTGCCTCGTGTTGAGAATGCCTTCACCATTGGAGCGAACGAACTTTCTGTATGGATATTTGAGGTGGACTGAGAAATAAGGCCACACAAGCAAACAGGTTGAGTGGAAAGTGGATTTTTTTTCTATTTCATTTGTGAAATTGGTGACGGGGGCCCTGGTAGACAATGGCATATTGGTATTCTTCCGCTCTGCTGAGAATGTTCGAATTTACTTTTCAATCGACATTTAGTCGGGGAGCCAGTCTGTGCTGAAAAGCCGAGATGCACCGTACATCTGTTTTTTTAATCCCTAGAGGAAACCATCAGCAGTGCGCACATTACAAATGCTTGCGTTTTAGACGTGAGTTTGCTGCTAATAGTGCGAACCCATTAACCAGAGGGATGGTCGGACAAGAAATCAATCGGACTACTCATGAGTAGGTTAAGATAAATAGATGACGTCACTGACTGCGGTAGCCTGGTCTGTCGTAGCCACGTCTGTCGACTAACTCCCGATTCTGTTCTGGTCACCCGTCACACTGGTGTTCAATGGATTCTCTCGCTTTTGTTCCACTGTATCGGTTACTCAAGTGTACATACCCAAACTCGTGAGCGATTTCGACAGATGTGTGAGCATCCCTCAGTCCTTGCATTGGGAATAAGAAAAAGCGCGCTGTGCTCCCGCTGTGAATTTTCAAAGATTTATGTGTTCACCTATGACAGATCAATGCTTGGTATTCATTGTACCATAGATTCGATAAAGGCAAGAAAGTAAAGTGTGAAAGATGAAAGCGTTGGTGGGGAGACGAGTTTCCTAAAGTTCGTACAAAATAAGTCTCATGCTTTTGTACGTCATTTTGTCCTCTGTGTTCACTTGATCCCCAGGACAACCATTTGTGGCAGGTGAGATCGCTTATACAAGTAATTAGCAAACAACCCAGATGGTCACGTGTCCGGAAGGGATCGAAAAAGGGGACAGTCTGTGAGCGACCATCCGTGTGGATTGGTTTGCCCTCCAATGTGGTGGGAGAATAACGATTGGAGAGCAGTGACCCAGTTGAGGATGTGCTATTCAAGGCTGTCCAAGGAAATCATTGGTAGATTCGAAACTGGCGCACTGGAACAACATGTCTGAAATATCATAGTTCGGGCGAATAGTATACATCCCGCAACGACCCATAGCTGATTGAAAATTGCTCCGCATGCTTCAAGGCCTTTTGGTGCTACTTGACTGGGAAGTCCTGGCAAGCGAGTCAGTCGATCGACACAATCAGAACAGTGACTGGGACGTGGTTTGAGGCGTCGGACTAAACCAATCCCATCGCTCAAGCCGCACGTTCGTCTGTGATAATTTAGGAGCTAGTGGAGTAGCGGTAACACACTCGCCCCGCATGGCGGATGTTCGGAGCTCAAATCTTGACAAGGTCAAGGGTATGCACTGCTGGCGAGCTTTACTAGGGACGAAACTCGAGTCCAGTGCCCCCCACTTGGTGTGGACTTACTAGAATACTTCTGCCAGGGCAGAAGGAGGGCTCTTCAATAAAGGATGATGTGAACGCAATTAATGATGATACTTGTAGGTTTATCCCTAGGGGGAAGGAAAAAATTGCCAACTCAGCGCGACTCAGCTGAGGCCATTGCATATTTGAACATAAACTGAGATTATGACAAATAAGCCCATTTTCATCTCAACTTGGTTTTCATCAGAGATTCAACTGAACCGCTCGTTTATAACATTCGTGAAAGATGTGTTCAAGTACAAAATAAAGTTGACACAAACTCGGGACTGAGACGAATCAAGAAGGGTGAGCCCAGTCGTGGGCTATCAAAAAGTTTTCAGCAACCTGGTGAGTAGCTTACTTTATGAAAATGCACTGCGATATCTCGAATATCGTGCCAACTGAGGCGGCCTGTGTGCAGCACATTCAGTTGTAAAATAGCATAAACGAGGGATTCAGTTGAGTCTCTCGTGAAAACGAAGTTGATTTTCAAAAGAGTGTAAATCTCGAAAACAGTCTGATTTGGGTTCAAGTAAGACTTATATCTGACGGAAACTCGGGACTGCGCCCACCGGATGAGCCCCGAGAACGGTGAAACCACTCATAGTTTGTCTAAGACTGTTCAGCAATTTTGAGAGTAGCTTCCTTTATGAAAATAAGCTGGGAATACCTTTAGGAACCGTCTGAAAATAAACTGTTCGATATTTTTCACTACAAAACTGTACTTACAAGCACTTTCTGGACAAAACTTCCATGGTTTTCGTGAATACACACTCATTTGAAAACTATTTTTTTTTCGAGAGACTCATCTGGAGCACAGCTCAATCTCTCGTTTGTGAAGTTCTCAGGTTTCAAGTAGAACATAAGGTTGACGGAAACCCGGAGACTGCGTCTACCTGATGAGCCCCAAAAAGGGAGAAACCGGTCGTGGGCTGTCGATGGATTTTCAACAACCTTATGAGTAGTACATTACAAATATACATGTATCACGATAAATCAAGTATCGTAGCGACTGAAACATGAGTCGGCCTGGTGCAGCACATTCAGTTGCCTTAGAACATCACAAACGAGAGATTCAGTTGTGTTCCAGATGAGTCTCTCGAAAAAACCAAATTAGTTTGCAAACAGGTGTATATTCGCTAATTTCGTGCAATTTGGTTTCAAGTAGAACATAAGGTTGACGGAAACCTGGGGACTGCGCCTACCTGATGAGGACGAAACCGGTCGTGGGCTGTCGGTGGATTTTCAACAAACTTAGGAGTAGTACATTACAAATATTCCATGGTCTTCATTATAAACCTCACTCAACTGGCGTGATTTTAATTGCACCTGCGAGGAGCTGTTATGATCATCCCTGTTTTTTACGGATTGCATAGATCCGTTACACGAAAAGCCTGATCGGCACTTTCCGAGTAGATTTGTGGAAAACATTACGATCGATTACGTGTGTAGTCAGTCACG